TGTGTGTGTGTGTGTGTGTGTGTGAGGGGAACAGGGTCGCATCACAGGAGAGTGAAGTGCCTGTTAGAAATCATAGCACGTCAGCTTTCTTAACTGCGGCTTGTGTACTGCATCATCACTGTGTCTGTCAGGCGACTCTGTTGCCCTTTCGGGCTTGAACTGATGGTAAAACTAATGACATTATTAACTGTCTTGATATTTACTTTGAAAGCTGAAGCTCGCGATTATGGTAATGGGCGTTACATTTCCGACGCGTGCTTGTGGTGTTCGGCCAATCACAATGCACTGGGTCAGCTGGCCAATCAGAGCAGACTGCACTTGTTAAAGGAGGGGGCTTTGTTGAAAACGACGTGTTTGAGAGAGGCGGGGCATAGAGGACCTACAATAATGTACAGTATTTAAAAAATAATGTTTTTTGAACATTTAAGCATGTCAACATATTCTGTTACACCAAATACACAAAATAAGGATCTTTAAAATAGCATAATTTGACCCCTTTTTAATTTCAGATAAATTATGCAATTCATATTCTCAGACTTTTGCTTGGGGACCATGAGTGATGTGACCTGCAATAAAAGCATTCATTACTTCCACACCATTGAACCTGCCATGTTACATTAGCACTGTAGCTTAATCTGTGAATCTCCTATATTACTCTCATCTGTAGGTTAAGCTGGGACCCTTTAACATCAGACCCATTCTGGAGGAAAGCATTTTCAGAGACCAGCATCACTATGGGAAAAGAGCAGGATAATGTCTCCCTGATATCCAGGTATACTTGACAAAATATCCAAATATCAGTTTTGGTGCTCCTGAACTTGTGGCTCATGCCAAAAGAGCTTAAAGAGTCTGGTGTTTGTATATAAAATATATTGTCTCTATAGATTAGTCCCTCTAGGATTTTGACTTTTTTTTTCTACAGAGCATGGGCCTGATGTATAAACGTTGCGTACGCACAAAATGGGCATGGAAATGTGCGTACGCAATTTGCCATGCACATATCGGGATTTATAAAAAATTAACTGGGCGTAAATATGTGCGCACCGTATGGACAGTCTAGACCATGCATACGCACTCTTTTACTGGAGTGAGCAAAATAAGGAAGCAAACAATGATTTTAAAGTCTGTTTTACATTTGACATACACATTTAGATTAAATATGACACTCTGAATAATGAAGTTAAGCACTGAAATGTCATGTAATTAATATTTAGAAATTACAACATTTGTATATGAATTTAAATTAAAAGAAGGCGTAACTTTGATTCTTGCTGTTGCCTCCGCTACAATTGTTTCGTTGTGAAAGTGAAACTACTTTGTTTGGCCTTCCAAATGAGGATGCAACTAGAAATCAGTGGTTAAGTTGTATTTACAACACTGTTCCAGAACAGTTCAACCCAAATATTCAGATGTGTGCAGTGCATTTTATGGAGGATGAGGACTGTTTCCTGAACCAGTAGCCTACAATGCGTCTGTGGCACAAAGGCTGTTTCTATAAAGTTGGGCAGTTCCAACTTTGCAAGGACAGTCTGGCGCTTCTGACTCACAGCCTGTAAGTATGTTTTTTTTTTAAATATTTAAATTTGCCACTGATGATTCAAACGTGAGTTTTGAGCAGTGTAGAGTAGGCTTGTCATTTCTTCGATCACAAATGCAGACATGGTTTTATGTTTACGCAGCGCGATACGCAACGCGTAAAAAGACAGTATAAGTCATTATAATCTGTAATTATGTCCCCACTGGATGCAACAAATGCCTCATTTTTAATGGTTTTGTCTCGTCCTGCTGGGAGATGGCAACCCAATATGGTAAGGGGTGTAACATTTCCGTCACACGCTTGAGGCATTCCTCAAATGAAAATTTGCGAGCTCTTGCAAAAATGGCAGTTTGCTTGATTCAGCAATCGCAAAACCCTGTAGGGACTGATAGATGATACTCAGTCTAGTACTGATGCAGTGAGTGGGCAAACAGCCCTATGGCACACTTCACTACACTGCCTGTGTGTATTGTGCCTTACACAATAAGCCTTTGTCCCACCCTAGAAAACACAACAAATGCAGGTTATAAAAAGCTTTCTCATTGGCATTGACGCTTCCTCCACTGGGAACAGATCACATCTGTTTAATTTGTTCTGGAGTCATTTGTTTTATGACTCCAGGACAGTTATGCACATATGTTTGTTATTTTATTGCTATTAACTATGAAGGGGCAGAAGTTATTGATCATGTTTAAATGTAGGCCAGGAAATGATGACATTAATTTGTGTATGTAGATGTTTTAAAACAAAGCAAATTGGTTGAATATAGTAAACCGATAAGCTCCAGCAGATCTGATGAAGTCTGTAAGTGTGGAGTGGTGCTGACGTTGGGCTGTGATTGTGTTCTGAGACCGTGTCAGCTGCTGTGAGTGGGCCAAGACAAAGAGCATTGTTATCTGACCAGGAGTCTGCATAATTAAAGAATGAGGAAGACTTTCATTTTGGAAGGATTATGACCATTATGATAATTTTCTTGTACCTGTTCAGTACAGAACAAGACATTAAATGAGACATTAAATAAGGGCCCATTAAATTGATCATAAGTGACCGTAAATAGTTACTTTTAAACAAAAATAAGTAAATGCTTTTTTTTTTTTTTTTTTTTTTTTTTTTTTTTTTTTTACTTTTTATTTATCATAGAATCCTAAAACAAACAAAAAAAAAAACAGTTAAGCAGCAAATCAGCATATTAGAAATATTTCTTAAGTATCATGTGGCACTGAAGACTAAAGAAATAAATGCTGCTGAAGTCAGCTTTGCCATCTTGGGTATATTTTGTGCATAATGTCTATTTTGTAAAAAGAAAGAGCGAATGAATATCTGCTACAATTGTATGCAAAATATATATATATTTTTTAATTTTAGGGTGAAATATGACCCATATATGTGACCCTGGACCACAAAACCAGTCTTAAGTCGCTTGGGTATATTTTTAGCAATAGCCAAAAAATCATTGTATGGGTCAAAATTATCAAATTTATGCCAAAAATCGTTAGGATATTAAGTAAAGATCATGTTCCATGAAGATATTTCGTAAATTTCCTAACGTAAATATATCTACTTAATTTTTGATTAGTAATATGCATTGCTAAGAACTTCATTTGGACAATTTTGGATTTTTTTGCACCCTCAGATTCCAGATTTCCAAATAGTTGTATCTCGGACAAATATTGTCCTATCGTAATAAATCATACATCAATGGAAAACTTATTTATTCAGCTTTCAGATGGTGTATAAATCTCAATTTTAAAAAAATTGACCCTTATGACTGGTTTTGTAGTCCAGGGTCACATATTTATATCAAGATGTGCTGTTTACTATGATTGTGTCTAGTGTCTTCTTGAATTGATTTTTTTTCTTTTTTCAGCCTGCATTTGGCCCCTGTGTCTTCTCAGAGAGGAAGCCCAGACAGCACCTGCTGACCCTGCCAGCCCAAACCTCAGCAAGTCTTTCACATTAGGTAATGCAGCAGACATGAGAGTCAGCACGTCATGCCCCACTGCTACACTTCATGTGCCCTCAAAGGGCCTGTGGATTTTATGCTTATGCTCTGTGCATGTGTGGTCGCCAAGCACGTACACATGTGTGAGCCTGTGTACTCCTGTTCAGTTTGCCTTGCTGTACAAGTGATATGTATGTTCAGTATTAAATCACACGCACACATCCGTACACTCGGGGATTAGATTGCTGCTGGTTAATACCTCCATTGCATATTATCAGAGGGGAATATATGACAGAAGAGTGAGCTTATGTAACTGTGAATCAACTGGAACACTTGTGTACTGTACATGTTAAAACCTAATCTGTCAAAAAGGGCTTCATTCAGAACAGTAGAACTACATTTTAAAAGAAAAAAACAAACAAAAAAAGCATGCCTTTAATCTTCCTGTTTTACAGCTTTTACCAGTTTTAACAAGTAGACAAATTATACAAAATAATGCAAAAAAAAAAAAACTTTTTAAATAGCCTACCATACAGATGAATTGGGTCTTGATTTATTATTCCAGATTTTACATAGCTTAGCTTGCTTTCTTTGTTTTAGGAGCTTGTTATTTTCATGATGCCTTTTTCAGACCTTTTTTTTTGTGATTGTTTTTGTATCATAGATAACGTCATAGAGTTTAGACCAAAGTCTGCACTGGACATTGATGCCAGAGAGGCAACTCACTCTCCTGTATCTTAATTTATATATACAGTGGGTATGGAAAGTATTCAGACCCCCTTAAATTTTTAACTCTTTGTTATATTGCAGCCATTTGCTAAAATCATTTGTTAATTTTTTTTTCCTCATTAATGTACACACAGCACCCCATATTGACAGCCAATGCATTTTAGATTTAGTTCAAAAGGCAATTATAGTATTTTTTTGCATAGAAATTTTAAGGATTTGGGAAAATTGTCATTTATATTTGGTTGAGTTAAAAAAAAAAAATGAACAAATGTTACTTTCTTTGTCTCTCTTAGCTGAACAGTTGTCCTGTCTGAACTGGTCTGAACTGGACTGGTCTCAGTTCCTGCAACAGGTGTGTGCTATTCTGGAGTC